ATATGAGAGCTCCTGAGAAAGCTCATAAACACGAACTCCCCGTCCTGACTGAGAATACATCTCTGATAATGCGCTCCATAGCTTCGGAACAGAGCTATGAAACTGGTGGATCCTGCAAACAGAGGGCTCCATTGAGCCAAATAACCATCCAAGAATGGCACAGTTTTCAGAGAACCACGCAGAATATCCAGGGTCGGCATCAGCTGGCTTTGGGTGAGATCCCGTCAGCCAACCAAGCTTCCCTACACGGCCTAAGAAAAGCTGGAATGAGCGTGACCACTCAGCGAAGTTACGACCATTCAACAATTGTGCCGTAACTTTTTGAGAGATCATGCCCGGTAATGCTGGTAATGCAACTGTGCTAGTAGGCACTGTATACTGGTCAAACATAAAAGTGGAAGTACCCATAGATGTCTCAACGGTAGAGGTGTCAACAGTAGGGTTCTCAAGTCCCTCAGTAGTAGTCATATCAACAACAATACTAGGGCACCCGTGACAGAAAAATAACTCTAAGATAAATAGAGGAATAAAATAAGGGAGAACAATATACCTCCAGTCGAACAGTAGCGACAAAAGAAGGTCCAGAAAACTCCCAAATAATCAAGTCACGGTGCCCAAAAATCCAATAAATATAAATGATCTTACTGCATCAAGAGCAAATCAATGGACAAAAAAGAGGATTTAACCCCTCATAAAAAAAAGGGAATCCTAGATACTGTAATTTGGGGCTTGTGTTTTCGCTGGGCAGCAGGTTCGCTGGTATTCAGTCGGTGGAGTTTCTGGTTTTGGTTTCAGTCGGTGGATGGACAGTCACGCATGGGGTTGTATGTGCAGTCGGTGGTTTTGGTTTCAGTCGGTGGTTTTTGATGGGGAAGGCTGAATGTTGGTCCTTGAGTTCTGGTTAGCAGTGGGCTGTTCGGTTTTGCTGATAGGGGTGTTATGTTGGTCGCTCGGTTTTGCTGATGGGAGGCAGAATGCTGTTGAGTTCTGGTCGGCAGTAGGGTGTTCGGTTTTGCTGAGATCAAGGTAGTGGGCTGTTCAGTTTTGCTGATAAGGGTGTTATGCTGGTCAGTTTGGCTGTCAGTGGAGGACTGGTATGGTCTGGTACGAGAATGGGCAGTCGGTGGATGGTGGCTGCTGGGGTTGCAGTCGGTGTTGCTGTTTTTATTGTTGATGGGTATTGGTTTGATGGGTTTTGTTGCTGGGTAGTGGCGGACTGATATCGGCACTGGGCTGCAACGTGGAGGAGGGGCTGGTGTCTGTCGGTGCTTTGGTGTTGGGTAGTGGCGGATTGATATCGGCACTGGGCTGCAACGTGGAGGAGGGGCTGGTGGCTGTCGGTGCTTTGGTGATTGATGATGAGGTTAGGGTTAGGGTTAGGGTATGGCTCTGATACCAACTTGGAATGAATGTGTGTGAAAAAGGGATACTCAAATTAAGAGTAGAGCCCCGTATATATATCCAAAAATAATACAGAGTGACTTAAACATCCTTGTAGTTTAGGCAAAATATAAAAATCATAGTAAGGGTAAAAAAGGGAAAAGAAATCCTAATAAACTAGACTATCTATACTCCAACAGCATCTAATGCTACTCATAATGCTCCCTTTCAACAAATTTCCCCCTAGTGAGAGATATTTGATTACATAATTTGCTTACATAAGATAACCTGCTAGGTTGGATATAACACATAGTGATCTTGAGAATAACAAACCAAGGTAGCAACCAAGTTAACAGATCTGTTATGACATCTCATAAGTAATTGCAACCTGAAAAGAGCACTACACGTCACCCCATAATAGATTGATCATTCTCATCTCTAATGCATAGTAGATGAGTGTGTGTCTCTACTATGTATGCTAAAAATAGACGGTGGGAGATGGGAAAAAATTGTGGCCATTTTGCTGAAGTGCATGATGGCCATAAACCACAAGAAAATATGATAACAAATTCATTTTATACTACACAAGAATAACTAAGCCAAACTTGTATTGAAATATTGAGATTGTGAGTGATGAACTTCCTCGAGTGAACTTTTGCAAGTGTGATTGTTAGTGAGTAATTGAAAACTTCATTTTGAGTGAACTTATATATATTTTCAAAATTTTTGAGAATGAATATACTTAAGTGAAAGCTCCTAAATTTTTTTTTTTTGTGAAAAAGTTGGTAGAAAATCTCGTTGAATTCTACGGAGCAAAATGGTGGTGTTTGTGATTTCCCTTATGGGGTAAATGGTAAACAGGAGAGATGTTCAACGGAGATTAACAAGCTTCTTCTCCCCTTATGACACCATAGACAAACTACTTGTACCAAAATAACACATATACAAGGACAAACTACTTGTACCAAAATAACAGATATACAAGCTCTCCACTCTCAAATTTCCCCGGGGCACTAACCCCTATTGTATTGCTTAATTTTTCACCATTTTATTTATCTTTTTCTATTCAAACAATTCTTTTTGGAATGGTAAGGATTTATCCACATCATTAAATCTTAAATTACTTTAGATTTTGATAAATGTAAAATATAATAAATTAGTTGATGTATATAGATCCTCACCATGCAAAAAAATTGTTGAATATTCAATTATAAATAGCATCACCGGTGTCCCAATGACATTTTAATGCTATGAGGTGGGAGTCAACACCCCATTTACTGGCCTCTGATATTAATTTCTCTCTCTTGCAATTTGTTTAGCAAAAAATGAACTGTCTCTCGAATTCCAACTAATGTTGAACTTACTGGTTAGGTTTAAATTGAATGCAATATTTTTCTTGCTGTTATATTGCAATTTTTGTTCCAGCAGTGAGAAATGCACCCAACATATTCCATGGGTTGCAAAAAAAGCGAGAGGACAAAATATTTGAGAATTAAACCTAATTTTTCTGAGATTTATCACATAATCACTCAGACTCTTTGACATTTGAACTATTATACACAAATCTCTTGAAATTTGTACATACATAATACTTAAACACTTGTCGTCCATGTCAGTTAGTAAATTATATCCAATACCCCTGAAGTTTGTAGCATATAATACTTAGACCCTCAAATTTAAAATGTTGTACTTAAATAAAAAAAATACTAAAATTAAAAATAGAATATCAAATATTTTAAATTTTACAACCAAAATTCATGTTCTATTATGAACTTTATTGAAATAAAATTAAAAATAAAATCTAATTTTTTTCTTAAAAAATTATAATTAATATATAATTATACAATCTATTGAAATTTAATTTGGTTGTTGAAACGACCAAATTACCCTAATTAAAGTTAAAATATATTGTATTCATTATAATTTTACCTCTTGTTTAATTTTTTAGTTTAATTCCAATAGATAATATAATTATATATTAATTATGTTTTAAGAGGTTTACGTGTAATTTATTAACGGGTGTACTAGTGTACATTTGACCGAAGGGGTTTAAGTGTTATCTGTGTGTAAATTTTAGGGGATTTGTGTATAATATTTCAAATGTTAGAGGGTCTGAGTAATTCAGTAACAAATTTAGGAAATCTGAGTGTAATTCTCCCAAAATTTAATTATGGCCTTTTGAAAGCAGAAGACACAATGGTTTGCAATGTGTTATTAACCATTATTAAGTATCTCAACCTGAAATTTGGATCAACAACCAATCCTTTATATATTTCCTCACGATATATTCCCTTTGTACTCATCAAAATTATCAACCAAATCAATGGAGCAAACTGAAAGAATTGGGATCAAAATCTACAATATAACCCCACAAGATGATAGAATGCAACTACTTGAGTTCATAGAAAATCCTATGCAAGCACCGCTTCGCTCTCTGATGTAGAGTTCCCCTCTTTCCCCACCGTGGCGACTGCAACTCCAAGCAACATGCTAGTTTTCTAGTGGAAGCTCCGCTATTCATCTACTATGGTAACCTATCTTCCCTCTCCTATTTTCCACTTTTTTTTCTTGTTTCATTCAGCATACTACACCCAAACCCAAACTCTTACATCTGTAAATAAAACCTAACCCACAAACATAGCTTCCAATCTCCTACTACAATCATCAACAATTTCATCTCCTCTCAGCTGCGATTCCATCTTTGAATTTAAATTTGCTCATTTTGATCCTCCTCCATTAATGCATACCAACTGTTTGACAAAAAGCCTCATGAAATCATTGTCAAAAAGTCTCTTAGAGACAGCTATGGGGCAACTGGACAAGCCACATACCAAGCAAACAAACCACTCCCACTCCCATACCCCAAACTCAACCCTATAACAAAACCTATTCAACCTCTCAAGGATTCCTTACAACAAAATCTCAATCACCTCACTAATTCACAAGCCATCTTCACCAGTCTACTAGAAAGGCCTGACTTCCGAATTACCCTTCACATTTCCTACAAGAATGCCTTAGTCCCAGGAATCACCAAAGAAATCTATGCCACCACAAATGAACTTGTGGAACCATTGGAAAGAAAACTTGAGGATGATCTAGGTAGTCCCAAAATAATCTTATCCAAAGAAGATAAAGCTTGAATTAGGCATCCTTGGGCAGATGCTATTATTTTCAAAACATATGGGCGTACATACAATTATCAGTACTTGATTGGGAAGTTGAATGCCTTATCGCAACCCAATGAAAAAATGAAATGCATACCTTTAGGAGAAGGCTACTATGTGGCTTGTTTTCAGTCAAAAAAAGCTACTATGAGGACACTCAATGAAGGCTCCTGGTTCCTTGGACAACAATTTATCAGGGTCAGATTGTGGGAGCCAGAATTACAGGTGCTAATGGATTCGTCTGCCTAGATTACCAATTGAGTTTTATGACTCTCTAGTCCTTAAGAAAATAGGACTCAGAATTGGAAGGTTGATTATGATTGATGCCCAAACTGAAGACATGTCCCGTGGGAGATTGCAAGAATGTGCGTTCAAATCGTTATCTCAAAACCACTGGTCTCGCATATATTCATTGCAAAAGACAAACAACTGGTTATGTATGAAGGCTTTAAGAAGATACGCTCCACGTGTGGCCATGATGATCACAATACCAAAGCTTGTAGGCTACAGGAGACCATTCCTATCTCTCCGGCATTTATCTCAACCAACGAGTGTGTGGAGAATTTTCTCCAGAAAGGAGCGATGGTGGATGGACAAGACTGGCTCACGAATCGAAAGGCTATAAGTTCGCGTTATGTGGAGAAGTTTATGTCAAGCTGCGGTGCTCTGTGCGCGTATGTGAGCTTTAAGAGCTAATTCACCAGTCAATTCGTGCTACACTCTTATTTTATAAAATTTACGGATTTGATTTTTTAATTTATAAATTCAATTAATTGGTGAAAGGGATGGGCAATCACGAGATAGTCTCTCTATTATGAAATGTCTTATTTGAGTCTTAACTACTAATTCAAAAAGACAATTTGTCACTACAATATTGCTAAAGTCAAGCAGTAAACCACGTTACTTCTGTGAATTGAACCAAGTTTAATAATTACATTGGAGTCAATGATAATCCTAAACGAGTACGGTTTACCAAACCAACAGCTCGGATGGTATTCGTGCACTTATACATTTATTTATTACTACTCAAATTTTTCTTTAGAAAATATTGATCCACACTTATAGATACATATCAATTGTAAACTATAAGTATTATTTTAGGACTTTATAATCAACATATATTTAAAAATTAAATAGTTTGTTTCATAGTTTTGAATAATATTTAATTTTTATTAATTTTTATGGATGAACGTGTATCAATATACATAAAATATAACGCTCTCAAAGCCCGCCCCGCTCTCATATGACTTAGGCTCTCAACCTCCTCTTCAATTTGTTATAGGATAGTCTTTGTATTATTCGTGTCAATATTTGAATTAATAAAATTATTTAATTTTAACATAATTCATATACTTTCATATATAAAAATTTGATAAAATAATAAAATACCTATTTTTTTGTATACAATACGAGCTAGGCGCGTTATTTGAGTCTAACACTAATCTAATTTATTTATTTCTTGTGTTAATCAGTGGTGTCATTTTTGGATTCGTAACGTGTCGACGAGTAAAATTGGCACCCTAACTTTCGTGGGTAATGTTACTCCGACTAACAAGCTGCCCTAATATATTCTTATTTTTTAGTTAGTCTAGCATTGCTCCTCTCTTATTATTATTATTTTTTTATCTAATCTATAATTTCAAATTTTAAATTAAAATAATCCGGAGTGATTAAATTGAGAAAAGGAACCTAAACAATCATGCCAGTTGTCATATTACTTAACATTTTCTTGAAAGTTCCAATTGGTTTTAGAAATTATACACAATCTCTTAGGATTTAAACGTCAATGTACATCCAATTTCTTCAAATGTAAGAAATTTCCGCCCATAGACATACGTCAGGTGCATTGCTTCTCTGGCTTTCAACCATGTTACATCAGGAGCTTCCCCACATTAACGTTTTGCCATAATAATAATTTTTATCATTTAGACTTGGGTCAACAAAATGACACGCTTCTAATATTGAGCGTAACAGTGATATCACGTCACCATTTAATAATGTAAGCCCTCTTGATAATTATTTTTATCGATAGATAAGGGTAGTTACTAAATGAAGTAGGATTCATTTCCCTAGATATTGATTTGTTATAGAATAGTGACACTATATAACAATGATAGAGCAGTGTCACCGTTATATTCAATATTTTCTCTCGTTGGTGGCCTTGTATGTCTACTCGAGCCACTACAAGGAAGCTAAATCTTTAATAATCATGCAAGAGTAGTATAAGATTTCTTTTAGTAAACATCTGTTATCCAATATATATAATCATACTAAAGAACTAATTACTGTAGTAAATTTTAAATATACTAAGTATAATGTTATCTGCAAACCATTTAAGAAAAAAATAGAATGCTAAAAAAAAAAACTGAAATACACTTACAGTAACGTAGAACTGTATTAATAATAATACGAATGTAGAAATCCATAAATAATAATAATAATAATAATCCGAGTACTGTGTAATCATAGATTCCTTAAGATATATTTGTTCATTCTCAGTGTTTATTGATAAGCAATTGTATCCAAAGATAGAACAAATTTCGTTTTTGAAGATGCAGTACTTCAATTTTTAAGACTTCAACGAACACAATTTCGTATTTTAAACTTGAATTTCTTAGAAAGAACAATGTAGCAATATACAGAGAGAGAGAGAAAGAGAAAAAAAATACTGAATACAGAATTCAAAATTAAGATGATAGAGAAAAGTTGAATGAGAGAGCAATTCTAGTAAGAAGTAAGAATTATTCAATTGTATGATTTAAGAGTGCAAGGTCTCACCTATTATAGATTCACTACTAATTTTTTATAAATGGTGCAACCATTTGTAATGGTGTTTTTTAGTCCAAATAGTATCAATAGTAATTTTATGAAAAAGTACAATCATTTGAAATAATGTAATTTAGTCCAAGATATATAAATAATAACTTTTATGAAAATTTGTGACAATTTGTAATAGTGGATTTTAACCAAAATATATTAATGCTAATTTTATGAAAAAATGTAACCATTTGAATAGATATCTTTAACCAAAAATCACCAATTTTGAACTACTAGTCTTTTATGTTATATTTACTTCACACCTTTCCAATTTCTCCCAAAAATTCACAAAAATACTTTAACAACTTCTCATTCAATACTTAATAGTTTTAAACAAATAAATATCAAAATATTTATTTAAAAACCATTATTTCCAACAACATAAACAAATTAAATCAAACCTCAAAAAAAAATGATGGTTCATGAATATTGAAGGTTTCATCTTTCTCCTTTCCATTTCTATAAAACAGTTGCATCATATTAGAAATTGAATGTAGTACTAACACAAGCTATACTACCCAAAAAAGGTACACCATACAGATCTGCACTCGCCTACACAAGTCCTACGAGCTTGTGGGGGGCAGCTAGCCAGAAGACACCATTCATCTCAGTGGATTCATTGTCAACAGTCAACACCATATCAGGATAAAGGTTTGTACAGAAGAAATCTCAATGGCATATGAGCAATGCTTCTGAAATGCTACACAGGAAGAGCGATATAAATGCAACTTCCACTTACTTCCAGCCAAGAAAGGGAAAGTAAATGCCATCCTTCTTCCTGCTTTCCTTCCAGATTTCTAGTATTTCATATGCTGAAGGCAAGTCAGATACATGAGAATCACCAACTTCATGGGTTGACATGTCAAGATCTAACTCATTAACGACGTCAAAGTCACCATGTTCTATGTACTCTGAGTTTCTGTCATGAAAACAATCCGCAGAATCAATAGAACCAATAGGTTCCAAGTCGTCAGCAAGATGCTTCGCCATCCTATCACCGTAATTTGCAGACTTCAAACATATATCAACTCCCTCCTCTCTATCATTACTAATGAGGTTATCTGAAGATACACTAATTACACTGCCTTTATTAACTTGAAGATCCTCGCGAGGGTTATAATTGAGGGTTCTTGCAGGAAGGTCGAGACCAACTGTACTTGTAGGATGCATATCTATACTTCCATCGCCAAGAAATCCCCTATTACAACCATCTGAAGGTAATTCACTAGCGGTTACATTCCCAAAAGCAACTGACTCTAATAAAACATTTGAACTGCCAGGGGCACAGAGAGATTGCAATACCCTTGAAAAGTTTGACACTGTGGCCTCTTTTGATAAATCATAATTACAGAGCGTGTCCAACAGTTCCTTTAAACTAGTCCTACTGATCCTGTCTCTGTTTTCCTCGAAGAGGTCTTTCCACTGATGTTCACTGACTTGAAAGGGAGCATGAGCTATGGTGTTAACACTAGCGAGAGCTCTTTCATAATCATGCCGTACAATGGCTTGACATACCATTTCAGTGAAGAATGATGGAGGGGGTATATCACCAGCTTCCAAAATTGTGTCAAATGCATGCTCGAGCAAATACCACTGCAAAAACACACCAGTTAAAACACTTCAAGGACCACATTGATTCGACAATGAAATAGTCCATCCAGCAACTTGAAAAATTGGGCCACAGCTAGACAAGAGAAAACTGTATGGTTGTCAATCGATATCAGAAGGGGGAAAAAACTCACTGCATCAGAGTTTAGTTTTTATTATCCCAAGGATAATTTTTGTTTAAGAATTTTTAGGCAAGCATTGTCGAAAGTTGAGTTCTAATAAAGTTGAAATGGACCTAAAAATTAACAAAAGCATTATCAACAGAGATGAGAGGTGTATAGCTTACTTTTCCAGCTCTAGATGCTTCCACAAGTAAGACTGCATGTTTTTTTGGATTAAGCTGATACCCAGAAAGAGCCATCTCCTTGTACACATACTCAAAGTATTCCCATTGGAGAGCCCTAGCTGATGCCTTAAGCATTGAGCTGTAAGTGTATGCATCTGGGCTGACAGAAGAACTAGTGTTATCATTCCGGCACATGTTAAAACCAGGATTAGCCGTCTTGGTCTCCTCAAATAAATCTTTAGCTTTAGAAAACATATCATTCTGAGCATAAACTTTCAACATGGCATTCACAATACCAATGTCAGGAGCACAATGGTCTTTACTGTGTTCAAAGATAGATACACAATCATCAATATGTCCACCATCCATGGAAGACAATATCATTCCAGTGAAGGTAACCTCCAAAGGTTTGGTGCGAGGAAGTCTTTTCAGCTTCTCAATCTGCAGATATGTTTTTTTGGAGGATAAACTTTCTTGTTCTACCACATGTAATAAAGCTTATAAATAATATATTTCCATACATTTGTGTGCAAACTCGAGCAGAAAGCCTTGAAATGTCAATGTGTAACATAAGACAATTGCCTACAAGATTCCGTTTTCAGTGTTATCTGCAATAAAAAGCCAATAACACAGATCCCAGGCATTGGTGTGTTTGTGGATCAAACATAAGTGCCCAGATCACAAACAAGCAGCAGCTCCATAAGTATGTGCTTCATGTTTGACCTTATAGTTTCCTTAAAAATGAATAAGGAAATTTGGTAGGTTTTTCTATCTAATTTTTACCTTACTTTGATTGGTAGAACATGAATCATGTGATGCAGTACACCGAATGCCACCCTCAGTTGTGCATGCGGTACTTCGTGATCAAAAAGTCCATGAAAAAGCACCTACCTAAGGATATGTTGCAAAGTCACCGCCATCGCGCTACACACTCTCTCTTCATGTGTTTTTATGTATACATATATAGTGGCCCATTAAAATAAAAAGAAAACTCCAAACAATATCCGGTCAAGGATCAAAATTTCATTTTGATACATTGTTTTAATCGGAAACATTTTGCAAACAAAATAGAAACGGATAAAAAATTAGAAAATTTATTTCCAAAACATTCTGAAATATTAGTCGAAATTTACATAAATATCTTGAAAAATCTCGAAACATTGAAATCTTGATTTAATCACTCATTCATTTCGGTCACCTTGGAAACGGAAACGTTTTAACTGTTTCGATCATTCGAAACAAAATTTTGATCCATGCATGGAGTAGGAAACCACAAAAAAAATGCATTTAAAATGGCCCTAATAGAAAATTTTCACCTAACAAATTGTTTGTCAAGTAGTCTTTTCTTTTCTTTTAAAAAAAACAATCTGTGAGTTAACCCAATTTCCAGAAAATAAAAAAAAAAAAAAAAACGAAAACAATGCAAGTTCACCAAGATAAAAAAGATTATCCTTGTGGACTGAAAGAGGCCTTCCTCTTGGTATTATACTGAATGGGTATATAGAAAGTATGCCTTCAGAGACCAAGTATATATGTCAAGAAAACACAAGTCAAATGAACCATCTGATAGACAGTTCTTAAAGAACGCAAAGAAAAATCTACCTCCACCATTGCTTCTTGCCACCTCCCAGTATTGCAAAGGCAGCACGCTAGCTCATAATATACACAGGCGATTCCAACCACACCCCTTTGTTCCATCTCCCTGACTGCTTGAACAGCTTCATCAACTTTACTTTCAACCCAGAAAGCCTTGACCAGAACTGAAATGTTGCAGGTAAAATTCATGTAAGACACCATAAATCAACACCCTTGAGAGTGAAGGCCAAAATAGCAGTACCTTTATAAGTGAGGGCTTTAAGAGCTACTCCACTTCTTTTCATTTTCTTGAAGAACTCATGGACCAGGTCATACTTTCCAGATTGCAGCATTACCTTTCAACAAGTATTTCCTGTAAGACTTGAATATGAATACAATTTAAGGATAAATAACATTTTTTAGATGGAAGTACTTTGTTCCACTTTGGACACCAACCTATATATACCAGAAAAAGAAAATGGCTTTTGGCTAGAAAACTAATCATCAACTAATATGGTAATTTCAAACAAGATGGCAAAATTATTAGTGATCAATGACACGTGACTGAAACACAACTACAAAGGTATTTAAAGCAACATCATATTGTATTTTTTGACAGAAACACTCCATCACACATGATTCACTTGACAAACCCAATACCACATTCCCTAACTTAGCCATCACAACCGCATTTATCTTAGTATCATGTGTACAATTACTTAAAATTTTTTGTCTACACAAACCCAATGCATATCAAGAAAAAAGAAATTCCACTGTATTAAACATGAAATTTTAAAAGTCATAAAAAATTTGAAAGGGATGAAGAAAAGAACACCCTCACATAGCTGGTAGCGCCATTTTAGAGGCAGTGCGAGGGAAAAATACCCAATGTCTATAGTAGGTCCTCTCCATTTAATGATTTTTGCATAGTACCAATTTACATGGCTTCAGTCAACTACTTTTGTTAGAACCTAACACATGCATGAAATATCACATGTCAATAGACATTGAACTCCAGCAACTACCTCCATTGCAAGTCCATAAGTTGCACCATTTGGTTTCAAACCACTTTTCCTTAACTGCTCAAACACCCAATAAACTCCCCTCCATTGACGGGTTGGGACACAAGCATTCAGCACCTGGCCAACAATTCGGAAATGATCAAACATTTGTACTATAATGAACAGTGACAACTTTTATTGGGTAGAAGTTAATTGGGATACACAGCTCTCTTACGGCGTTATATACAACCGCATCAGGTTGAAGGATGGGATCCCAGTTCTTCCGGCACATATTTTTAATTCCTTTAGAAGGTTTCTGCTTCATACATTCAATAATGTTGATCAACTCTTTCAGAAGACCAGCTTGACCGAGTGCAACAGCAATACTGTGGTATGCAGGCATATCAGGATATATGTGGCAATCTCCCTAAATAACAAAAATAGTTAAATTCCATCTACCCACATCATGCAAAAACTATAAGGAACCCCAATTTTTTTTTATAAAAGGGACTTCTAATTATTACACGCATTAAATTGAAAACTTGAAGAGCTTCATGAGGCCTCCTTGCTTTCCCAAGAACAGCCAACAGTTTTGTGTATACAAACCTATCAAAAAGCAAACAATTTACATAAGGGATTAACATGAGAGCAAAGAAAATGCAAGAAGTAAATAACTTCCGTCAAGTCAGTCCAAATATGCCGCATATAACACTTTTGTCCAAGGACCTAATGCATTGTGGTCGTCGGATACGCAGTGGGTTAACGAAAACGAAGTCTACTATCAATCTAATAGTCACAATGCATTACACACCTAAATTAGGTCCCAAATTAGATACACAAGTGGCATTATTGTTTGTGTCAACCATAAAATTGTCTTGAAAGGATATCATCCAACGGTGGCCAGATTTTGGCTGAAGTTAATAGCATACTATTTTACCTGCTCTTATAATGCCTATGTTCTTTAGAGCTGTACACCCACTCCACTAGAGATGAAGCATGCCTCCACTGTCCTTTATCACCAAGCCGTTCCACAATCTTCAGCAATTGCCCTTCTGTAAATTGCAAACCCGACTGTTTCATCATCTTCGAAAACTTCCAGTCCTTCACAGTCAGCTCCGCACACCCACTCAACCTGTGATAAACCACAGACCACCCATCAACATCAAAAAAACACACACACACACCCCTCATAAACAAAATTACACAATTTCATTCGTCCACACATACCTATCAACAAGAAATTGAATTGCTTCGACATCGCCGCCACGGCGCTGCTTCGGCGGTGCCCAGTTTCGCCTTTCGTTCCCGAACAAACCTTCCTCCATTTCAATATCATCATCCAAAAGCCACCGCAACTTATCACGCTCATTCTCAATAACATCACTCAATTCTCTCAAATGCTCCGTCCTCAGCTTTTCTCCACCATATAATTCACTCTCGCTCGCAAGCTCTCGCAATTTCAGCCTCTCCAAGCTCTCCCAAGGCCTCCCCACCATCCTTGTACCACTTCTGGTGTCAATTGCTTTAGTGAAAGTTTTGTACTCAGATTTTATAGTTTGGAAATGGGTTTCTTCGGCGATGGCTTGTTTTTGGGAGTCGGTGAGGGGTTGGGACTGGGCGGTTTGTTTGGCTAGACGGCGTTTTGATTTCTGGAGTTCCTTTTTGCGGAGGGTGTGAATGATTTTGGGTGTTGGGTAGACCCCTTTTTGGAGGAGATTTTGTTTGATTTTCTGGGTGTCCGATTGTATTGGAGGAGGAGGGAAGCGAGGAAGTACTGGTGAAGCTTCCATGGTGAGAACTGGAAGTGAGAGAGAGCGACTGAGCACGGATTTTGAAGAGCAAAGAGGTAAGGTTGCTTCCCGGTATGTATGGTCAGTAGTTGGTGGGCAAAGGAAAGTGAGACACTTGGGTTTGTGTTCGGGTGGGATCGAAGTAATGGGTTGTATTGTGTTTAGGGGTCAATTTATTATCGAAAAAAGCGTCTCACTTAAATTTTTATTTAAATTTAAATTAATATTTAAGTAAAAAATTTAATTTGATATATAAGACTCGAACGAACAAACTTAAATTTAAAAAAATAGAGCCTCAAATTTAAATAAAGTCAAACCTAAATTTAAAAGGGAGTAAGAATGACCATTGAATCTTTAAAAGATGATAAATCTTACAATTAAAGATTTGAGTAAATATTTGAGTAAATATTTGAGTCTTCCTTGATTTGAGTAAAAAAATAAGTTTTCCTTAATTTAGTATAAGTTTGAGTCAAGAGTTGGAACAAATTTTTTAAATTTTTTTACTTAAATTTAAATTTGAGTCTAAATTTGAGTAAGAGTTGGAGATGGCCTAATGCTATGCTGACCAAATTAAGAGCCCAAATAACATGACAGTTGATTATTTGAAATCTTTATTGAGACCCAAATGACATGACACCAAATAAAAAAACTCAAGTCAACTGTCATGTCATTTGAGCTCTTAATTTGGTCTCAAAGTTTGATCAATGTTGATTTTTTACTCCAACGACGCGACTCGATACGAGTTTATGATACGAACTCAAAAATAACCCGATACACGAATACGAAATATAAATGAGTTATGTTTGGGTTCAACTTGTCAAAATCGAAATTGACACGATCAACCTGTTTATTTAAGAATTGACACTTTCTTTATTTTTTTATTTGCATGGTAATAAAAATGACACAATCAACATGTTTAATTAGTATTATAAAAATAAAATATTAATTATTTGTAACTGTTTATTAAATACTGACATAATTATTATATAAAAAAGATATTTTTACTCATTATTATTATTATTATTATTATTATTATTATTATTAGAAAAAGTATCAGAATGGATTCAATTAACTGAAAATATAATCTTAAAGTTAAATTTTTTATTCAAAATTTATGTGAGTCAATACGAATACGAATACGAACACGACACGAAAATAAATAGATCAACTCGATACAACACGATTAATTAAATGAATTAAGTTTGAGTTGACTAATGTTCGACACAAACCCAATATGACACGACTTGGTGACCACTTGTAAACTGATACGCACCTTTTAATATTCTTATTGGGCTAGAAGTCTAAGTTGCGAAAGCTTTTGGCTAAAAATCCATTTGAAAAATAAAGTCTAATATATCCCTAATAACATGGTAACCGCTCGTAAAATTGATTAAAAAATAAGCAATGCTACATTTACGAAATAATTAGCCTTAAAAATT